GAATTTTGGCTGATTGTTATAAATATTCAGCCAAAATTCGGTAGCCGATTTTAGGTCAAATGTTAAAATTTAGTATTTGACCTATAATCAGCTACCTGTATAAACAATCAGCCTATAATCGGCTACTGATTTAAACAATCAGCTACCTTTTTTTTTTATCTGGTGTTTTTTGGGTCGAATCTAAGTCGATCATTTTGACTGATTCGACCTGAGTTCGACCAAAATTTGCCAATCGACTACCAATTTGTGGGCAAATTTTAGCAAATTTCTGGCTGATTTAGGATCAAATTTCACCTTTTCGACCAGTAATAGTGTTGTTAATTTTTATTTTAGTAGAAATTTTTTAGTTTTTTAATAGAAATTTGTAATAATAAAAATTCTAGTAATATTATTAATTTGCTTTTAATAAAACTTCTGTAACTTTCTAGTGACTTCTAATCAATAACACTAATTTAATAGTAATAAAAATGTTAAAATTAACCTGGTAATTCTTGAGAAATCTTTAAAAAATATTTCACCAATATATAAAATTTTTTAAAAAAATGAATTTTTTAAAAACTACTAAGCCAATTTTAATGTTTTTACTACCATTAAATGTATTTTAATAAGCTTTACAACTTTTGTTAGAAGCCTAAGAGTAATTTACTTAATAAAAAGGTTTTAGATAAGAATGCTCCACTTTTAGGCCTATAATAAAATTTATATATATATAAAATTTTGTTTAGATAACTTGCAATTTGCCTATTAATTTAATTAATTGATAATGCACTGTGTTATAAACAAACCTTATCTTAAAATGATTTAAATTCCAAAACAATACACATGATAAAATAATTTGAATATACTTAATTTTGATTTAAATTCTTTAACAATTCGGATACGATTTAGAATTCTATTACAACCTATATTTATTCGAAATCAGCCTATGTTGTTTCTAAATCCAAAGTGATTCCATTCCGGCATACAACATATACACGTATAAAACTAGATTTCCCCTATATAAGAATATATACTATATATATAATATGCAATTGAATATATGGCGTCAGCTATATTTTTTATGGGTAATGCTAGGCAAGGCAGCATGACGTAGCAAACCTAGTATCGCCCATAAAAAATACGGCCAACATCACTTGTAAATAAAATATGTATTGCATACAATATATAATGATAAAGTTGAGTAATTGCGTAAATTAAGAATCATGTGATATATATATACAAAATACTATATACAATTGAAGGTATGACGTCAGCCGTATTTTTTTTATGGGCGATGCTAGGGCTATTGCATGACGTGAAATAGTACAGCATTAGAATTTTCAATTGTCGGGATCTTACCCGTTAATTTTATATTAACTAAATTAAAACGATTTAAGTATATACATTATACATTATCAGTTATTATAATTGCTAATATACAATACATAGTTGTGATACTGTATATAACAAAATTAATTTACGTATTATATATATATATCAATACGTATAAAAAATAAGATTAATGGCTAATAAAAAATATTTGCTAAAAAAAATTAATATTATAAGTATACTATAGAATACTACGTATAGAATAACAGCTGTTTAAAAAAAATTATTAATAACCAATCAAATAAACAAAATAATCAACATAAATACGGTATATATATATATATATTCTAAAAGTACTGTACAAATATACACAAGTATTAGAGCTACTACTACATTTCAAAAAGTTGTAATCAATTCAAATACTATTACACAAAATAAAAGAATTTATTAATAATTCAAGTAAAATGAAACTTATTCCTTGCTTTTACAATCAAATATTTGGCTCAAAATAATAAAGTTGAAAAGTAAATTTTGGTAGTAAAACCGTACTGATATAAAGAATTTCAATTAGTACAGTAATTAATTGCTATCACATCAATATTGATATTGATTAAATATTCAGATTAACAGAAACCTATTTAAGCACTGTGTATCCAATATACCAAATCACTTATTTTCAGCCTTTCCATAATATATATCAAACAATGACCTGATTTAACTAGATCGTTAATCATTATAATAAAGACCAGATCCAATCTTCACAGACGAAAGAACAATTGTTCAATAATTCACTTGTTCTGTCAAAGATTGGCGAATAAAGAACATTAGATAAAGTTGAAAGCCGATAAAAAAAATAAAATAACAATCGTAAAGGTAATCGTAAAGGTAATCGTAAAGGTAATCATAAAGGTAATCATAAAGGTTGAGGAAATTCTGCGATTTGTACTAAAACTAACAGTATAGAGATAATAAATATCTAATAAGTTATACGTATTACATGTCAAAATGTTATTCGACTTTTTCCGTTGTGTTTTACATCAATTACCATATTGAGCACGTTGCGGTTCTCATAAAATTACATCAATATCGTAAAAGATCAATGATTTTTCGTGCATGAATCACCAAATAACAAACCACCTAACATATATATATCATAATATGACTTACGATCGTTTGTTTGAATAGGTTGCATTAAAAGATTCAATTATTATTTGTTGGACAGAGCTCTAATCATTGTGAATTAAGATTGGTTTGGTCTCTTATTATGTGAATAATTTGTAGAAATTGAGAATTTCGAAGGTTTTTTAATAAAGTGGACGGAAATTGTAATTGCCGCGCACGACTATACCTACCATGTTCAAGTTTAAGCAGCATACATAAACGCTTTGCGGTTGAGATCGTAATTAGTAAACTTAAGGGATGAAGCAAACAGGATTAATAACAAAGGTCGTGAATATAAAACGTCTTTTTAAAATATATTTAAGACTGGAAACCTTATAAGGTAACGTTCCTATGCAACAAATGTTTGCACCCTCCAAATTACGAACCACACGTTTTTTAATATTAATTTTAATGTGACTTGAAACTCTTCACAACGGTTAAAAAAAACACTATAGATAATTCACCTTAATACAGAGCGAACAATGATTGTGTCACGTGAATGATAAATAAACTACTTAATTTGGTTAGAGAAATAATGAAATCTATGCTTCGTTTGACATGGTTCATACAATCAAGAAATTTCGTTAAATTTTTTTTATGTTCCAACGCCAAAAATTGCATTGATCATCCAGCGAGGAGGTATATGAACTGCATTGTTGTCCACAAACATACAGATTATATCAACAATGAATAGTCATTTTAGGACTCCTGGATAATAAAAATTTCGTGTACCCGTCAAAACGACGATGCTTGTTTAACCATTGGACGTCTCTTTTCCTTCCTTCTTTCTTTTTTTTTTTTTTAAAAAAAAAAAGCTTAAAATCCGGAGATTTGAAATCTTATTTATAGAAATGCATCAACGAAACCTTTCCATATACGACCATCACTACAAAGGCACCAGAACAAAAAAAAACTTGCAATTTTAGATAGAAGATGCAGGGATATTTTTTTTCCTGAGGACGTATAAATAAAAGGCGTTTTTTTTTTTATAACAATTATCATTCTTTGATCAATGTTCTTTTGAATCGAACTTAGATTAAAACGCACGTATAGCTGACTCCGTATTTTCCCATGTTTGTTAACTTTATAAAAATATCGAGGAGCAAACAAAAAGTTTTTTTTTTTTTTTTATTTTCTAAATCTCTTGATAAGCAAAAAAGATTAGCCTAAATTTCGTGCCGGCAGTTTGGCAGTCTCCGCGCTCTTTTTCCTACATTAAATAAGCTGTCCTTGCCAATATCTTTAAATTCACGCTTTCCAAAACCTTCCATCCATTTATCACTCACGCTCAAACTCCTAGTTTTTCTCACATTCCTTCCTTCCTCTTCCTTTTCAATAACAGTCCATTTTTCATCCTCCTTAAACTCTTAGTTCAAACAAAAATTTCTTACGTACCGTTATCCACTCAACGATCCAAATAAATTATATCATGAATACACGAAGAACTCGAAAAGAGCCACGAGATAACACATCCCGCAGGACGGGTCCTTGGGAACCTCAGGTTTGATATCACACAAACACACCTCACAAATCGATCATATTTACTTATTTTTGAATATGGATCAATGTTAGGAAGACGAAAAACTACTAGAGATAGTAAGAGAATTAGGAGTTAAACATTGGAAACTCATCGGAATAAGACATGGTCTACGTGATGGAAAGCAATGTCGCGAACGGTAAACATTTACGAAAATATCTTTTTTTTTTCATTCTATAGTATTTCGTTCCATACCACTAATTTCCTTTCTCCAAATAGATGGCATAACCACTTAAACCCTGATTGTAAGTGAATTCGCTTATTCTAAATCATCATTTTCCTTATTCATTCCCATTTAATTTTACTTTGAATATGAATCGATCATAGTAACTTATGGGCCCTTGACTCCAGAAGAGGACAAAAAAATACTATCATTTTATTCCGAAATGGGCACAAAATGGGCAGTGATGAGTCAATTATTAGGAAGACCAGCTAATTTAATAAAAAATCGGTATTATTCTTCACTGTCTAAAAAACGTGACCATGTCGCGATTGATGATTCAGATGATTCCACAAGTAGTACTTGTGCTTCCCCAAGACCAAAAAAGCGTCGGATTACTAAAGATACTACTACTTCGGCTTCTCTAAGTAATGATGGTAAAGAATTTATTCAAGTTTATTTTATTGACACATCGATACACACAATATATATGTATTTTTTTATTTATTTTATTATTATTATTATTATTATTATTTAATATTCAGAAGCGTCACGCTATTCTCATTCTCGGAAAAAATCATTTAAACCAATATCGCTGGAAACTCCACCTGCTGAACGGTGGATTCCTGAAGGCCATCGTTATCCAACACGTTTTCAAGTAAATTCATGGCATTCTTTAAAGACTCCAATTTCCAGTCCTGAAGCCGTAGACATTCCATGTCTTGATTTGAACTGTCCTACTCATAACTATAGTCCTCCCTCAAATAAATATATTTCTATCCCAACACCAACCTATACTCCAATACCGTCTCCTGTTCCAATGTATCGTCATAATCATCATCATAATTGTACAGCAGCTTTAGAGCAACTTGCAGACTTAGCAATTCAGAATGCAAGGTAATAATATTGTACTAGAAAATACTGTTATCTTTTGGTCGATGATTTTAAATCGTGATTTTCATCTTCATATCTTTATATTTGTTACAATTAGGGAGATTACCAAAGTCAATAATAAACAAAATTTTAACATTATGTCTATTGCGGCAGTGTTGAACTAATTCAAAATTGACAACAGGAACTCTCCTCATTCACAAATTGTTTAAGTGCATATATTTTATTAGAAATAATGTTAATACATAATTTTTTTTCATCAGTTCCTTTTAAAAATTATTCACCTTTGTAATTGCTACTTTTATTACCTCAATTCTAAATATTTACATTAGTACATTCCAACCCTTGACTTCTTTTTCTTTTATTATTTTTTTTTTGTTGTCTTCGATTTTTTTTAAACCTTTCCATTTTTTTTCGAGCTGGTCTCTTCACAAATAAGATTTGAAATTTTATTTGATTTTTTTTTTAATTTCTTGATTCCATTATTTCTCTTTAATTTTTTTTTTAATGTAATTAACACATCAATTCGAGAATGAAGTTGTGTGTAAGTACACAAGAATGTAGTTAAGCATATTTGAAGGCTTATTAGTTGTAGTAAAAATAATAAAATGCATTGCAAGTTTTCCATGACTGGATCATGCACACTTTAATGAATTAATTTCTAAATAAGCGCGAAAAAAAAACCGATTCTTCAATGTTTTTGTGTATTTTACTATTTTCATCACTTCAAGAATCTACTTTTAATGGAAACGTAGATTTATTAATCTGCGCCTCACTACGGAATTCTTATAACGGGTAATAATAAATATTAATCTAAAGGAAACTATTCAAATATCTATTGATGATATTGGTTCTTTATTCAATTTACTAAAATTTATTCAATATCTTTCTTAATTAAGCATATTTTCAATGACTTGAATAATTTGTTGTAATTAGTTGTTTAATTATTACAATTATTTAATCAAGGAGAACGCACGAACCAACCGGGAGCTGTATTTAAAAATGTAATCTGCTTCATTTGTACTAAACTTGTTTTTTCTTCTAATTTAATTTGGAAAGTATGTTGTTGGAATGTTTCATTGGTACAGTATGTAATTGGTTGTTTAATTAAAATATTTTTAGATCTTTTCGGTTATAAGATTATGTTGATAACACATATCAATATATACATATATACATGTGTACATAAAAAGATTATAATATAAATACGCGAAGATAATATTATCACGTGTAAATTGGCTAACGCGTTATTTATGCCGCATTGAACAATGGACAAAAGTAATATTGTGTTGTGTAATCAATGCATATCAAAAAATAGTTTGACGTTACACGTAATTGTATGTAAAATGTATGCAGATGCACACATAAAAAAAAAAAACCAAAATCGATCATGTCAAGAATCGACTTTTTTATGATTTGTCAATTTATACAATTTAATCTATACAGTTTAGATTACCTTTTGCAACTCTTAATAAATTTATTATTTTTTTTTTTTAATTGTTTGAGAAACTATGCAAACGAAGCTTTAAGTATCAGATATTTCTGATATTCGTTGCATCTAATTCAAAAATAGATTTTTGACTATATAAAATAGCAATACGTATGCAATATCTTTTTAAAGTTTTTAATTATCTTGCAAAAAAAGTGTACCGGGTTTGAAAAAAGGGAAGTCTTGTTTCTATTGAAATTTATTAAAAATTCTTTAAGAATATTTTTATAAAATGTTACAAATTTGTTTGACAACAGGTATTAATTTTATATATTTTTATTAAAATTGTTGAAAAAAATTTTTTAGCTTAATATAAATATAAGTATTGCTAATTTGCCTCCTGGTTATATAACAACTCTTTTTATATTATCTTAAAAATTAAACTAAATAACCATGTTTGATACATTAAATAAAAAATGTTTAGTATTTAAAAAACCTTGTTTTAGTTATAATTCTAACTCTAAACCTAGTTTTGACTTTAATTTTAATTTTAAATTTTAAAATAAAAATTATAAATAATTAAAATTTATAATTTTAACTAAAGTTATACAACTTAAAAATTGGTTTTTATAATGGTTAGGTCAAATTTTACAAAACTTTAAAAAAAATTATATATATATTTACTATTTGGATAAGTTTTTAAAAAAGGTTTAAAAAATTATATATATTTTTATATATATAATTTTTAAAAGCCAGATTGCTGATTATTTTTAAAATTTATATTATAAAAACCAATTTATTAAATTTGTATAGTCTAAAACAAAGATTAGTTAAATTTTATAAATAAATAAATATATATTGATTTTAAAGTAAGACCTTGTTTTATATTCTTTATTTACAATA